ATGCTGCTCTATGTATTTTTAATGTATTAGTGATTTATCAGTTTAAAATTTAATAGTTCATTTTTATTAGATTCTGGTTGGTGGAGGCATCATTAACTTCAGAGTAAAACCGAGAGATGAGATGGGCAGTGAAGTTGTTCTTGAGAGTTCCTTTTTTTGGTAATACCCTCAAATTTTATTGAGAAATAAAGGTACATAACTAAGAAACATATATAACTATTACTGTAGTCAGGGAGAAAGGCAAGGAAACGACGATAGAATATGGTAACTTCTAGGTTTAGAGGTCACCGAGTTACCAACTGTATCTTTATTACTAAGATAAGAATCTGTCAGAATTGAGGCTAAAGCGAGCGATAGGAGAGGTCTCAGAAAGCTTAGTGTGTAGGCTGAAAGGAAGGGGAGAGGCTGAGGAGAAGGCTAGGGCAAGGTCCTGAATGTAGCTGAGCATCTGGGACTCCACCAGCAGTTGGCAATGGAGAGAGGCCTCAGCAATCAGACTTCCGAGCAAGGCAGAGGGTCAGAACAAAGAACAGCTGGGATCTGAGTCTAACAGAGTGAAACAAACCAGTCAACCAGAACGGGGCCAAGGAGGGGGCCAAGTTCTAGCAATGTGTAGGGGGCTGAGGAAGTCATGCCAAATGAGAACAGATGGAGCCAGTCAGTTCCTAGAGAGCACTGACAGCCAAGCTCAGCGGACGCTTCACCGGTAACAGCACATCTGAGAGAAGGGAATGGCATTTCCTGGCACAAAGAACTTTCTCCCTGCTCCCACCTGTAGTCCCACCCCATTCCATCAAAACTCTTTACAAAAGCAGGTTAGCAATGAGAACTGACTGGCATGTTTGCCGCTGTATGTCCTATTTCCACCCTCCCTGAGCTGAAGCTGCTCATTCACAGTGAGATGGCAAAAAGATGAGCTCAGAAGAGAGGAACACAAGTCTGGGAAACCACAAATCTGGATAATGTGTACCAAATAAACTCTTCTTTCTTCATCTTTCAGGAACTCCTGAGTCCCTCCTAAATATATTGCATCAGAAATTGTGGAGGGTATAAAGAAAGTGGGGGGGGGGGGTGTGATCCTATGGCTTGGTATTTTTCAAACCCTTGGGCATTTTCAACGCGTGCCCATTTGTCAAAGAGCACTCAGAAACATTTGATAAAGTTCAGGCGACCCCATCAAAGCCCATGGGAATCTGAGTGTCTTACATTTTGGAATCTATGGAGCAGGAAGCTAGTGACTCACGTAGCAGTCTGAAGAAGCTGGGTTTGGCCTGGCTCTGCCCACACAACTAGCCTGACTAAACAAGTGCTCTCATTCCCTTCAAAAGCGAGGAATGATAGTCCCACAAAAAAGTGGTGTGGAGTTAGCTACTATTACTAGTTTATCATTATTCAAGGTAGCTCATCACCTTTCTTTTGTATTGTAGTAGTAAACTGCAGAATTTAACATAGATTATGAATTTCAGGAATCTTATCAAGTTTTTTTCTAGGCAGGTCTTGATTCGAAATGTAACATGCCTGAACAAAAACAAAAACCACTACTGAAAGGATCCTTCTCTTCCATACAGTATCCTCTATATAATAAAAGGCTAATATGCAAATCAATCAAACTGCAGAACTACCAGTTGCTATGATGCACAGTGACCACCAGTGGGCAGATGCTCAATGCAGGAGTTGCCCCCTGGTGGTCAGTGCGCTCCCACAGGGAGCGCCACTCAGCCAGAAGCTGAGCTCACAGCTGGCAAGCACAGTGGTGGGGGTGGTGGGAGCCTCTCCTGCCTTCATGTCCAACTGACAACTTAGGCCTGCTCCCCACTGGGGGGGCAGGGAGAGAAGTGGGCCTAAGCCATCAGTCAGACATCCCCTGAGGGCTCCTGGACTGCGAGAGGGCACAGGCTGGACTGAGGGACCCCCCCCCTTCCCTCCAGTGCCAGAATTTCATGCACTGGACCTTTAGTTTAATAAACATTAAGTAACCATCATTTCAAGTGTGGTTAGGCTCAAATGCTGCCCTGCACTGTGAGTGGCGTGAAGACAAGTGTAACACTATAGCTCTTTATTAATAATAATTGCTTAGCCATTACACAATACCCTGGAACAGCTGTTTGGTGAATGAAAGAATAATTCAAAGTAAAGCAGGCCAGGTATAAAACACTTCCAAGGCACATTTCAAAATAGCTCCTTTATGTGAACTAGGTGCATGTCTGCAGAGGGAGTTTTTGTGAGGACAGGTGGATAATATGGGCCTTTACAATAATTACACCACCATCTGGCCCCATCTTTATAAAGGCAATGCAATTCTGCTGTACCGAGTTTCACATATGTGGTATTATAGAGCCACACAGCTCAACGACGAAACGGTGTGACTAGCAGCCTTTGTTAACCACACATTGATGCAGCAGATTGTTTGAGAAATGGGTTTGAAGCACATCTGTGAAACTTATGATCCTATGGGTACTGGCATTTATTTCTTTGAGGTATCACTTTACACTTGAGTTTTTCTTGGTAGAGTATTTTTTCAGAGACTTCTCTTTTGAGGCTAAATTAGGAATTTCTGTTCCTTATTTGAGTTCCAAGAATTGTGCCTTTCCTGCCCTCCGCCCAAATTGGAAGATACAAACCGTGGGAAAAAGTGTCTTTACAAACTGTATTGAGTAAGTTATCTAACTTGGTTTATTTAGCATAGTCAGGAAACCTTTCACATGCTTGGCATCTTTTCTATTATTTCTCTCTAAGCTAAAACAGTTTTGTTTTTGTTTTTTAATGAATTTCTGGGTTCTTACTGCGAAGGTGGGGAGTAAGGTGGGCACAAGGGCTGACAGGTAGTAAGTCGATATGAAACATTTCTTCCTGTTCAGATCAGATTCTCCCTTTCTAATATTTATTCTTCCTCAAATAGGAAGAGGGAGAGCGGAAAAGAGAAAAAAATGAGACATATAAATAGCTTTGTGGGATTTACTTGAAGTCTAAAGAATATGCATTTATGCAGTTATGATCTACCCTTGTAACCTTCATCCATCCCAGTCATGCCTGAGAAGGATGTTGGTGCTAATTTTAACCGGAGACTAAGATGCACAAAGAACAAGTATCATAAAGCATTTTTGGAGCCAGAAACATTTAAGTTCCTTGACTCACTGCTGCTCTTACTCTAGACCACACAATTATATCCAAGTGAATTGCTGTTAGAATTAGTGCTTTCAGAGGACACGATTGCTCCTAATTGGCAGCTATAAACCACTTCACTGAGAAAGCTGGGGTCTTAGATGCTGTGAGAAATAATTGATAGACTGAGGCCTGAGTGAGTCAGGCTCCTGTGAATCATAGCACTTTTAGGTCAGTTTTTTAGACTGACTCTCCAGGTCTTGCTTTTTTCCCCTCCCTCAGGGAACGCAAGTGCCCCAAGGCAAAGAGCTAAGTAGATATCAAAAAAGTAGAGTGCTTCTGGCGAGTGTTTACTCAAATGTGGTTATCAAATCCCCTGTCAGTCCCATGGGGTGCTTGTTAAACACGCAGACTCTGGCTGCTCTTTCCACCCTACCGCCTAGAGGCAGGAGGCCAGCCTCTGAGACAAGCGTTCCAGGGATTTCCCTGCACACTCAAATCTGCCTTGGACTTTTAAAAAAGATGTAATTACTAAAGTAGTACACATAAAATATGGAAACAATATACAATATAAGCATACTAAAGAAAACTAGATATCTTCCTGCTTGCCAATGTTTGGTGTTACTACTATGACTTTTATCCTATGCAAATACATGTTTTGTTTTTAAAAAAATATATTTTATTGATTTTTTTACAGAGGAAGAGGGAGGTATAGAGTTAGAAACATCAAATGAGAAACATCCATCAGCTGCCTCCTGCACAGCCCCTACTGGGGATGTGCCCTCAACCCAGGTACATGCCCTTGACCGGAATCGAACCTGGGACCCTTCAGTCCGCAGGCCAACGTTCTGTCCACTGAACCAAACTGGTTAGGGCTACATGTTTTGTTTTAATGAAGGATCATATTAAGCATGTGGCTCTGCAGCTTGCTTTGTTTCCCATCTTGTTTTTAACAATATAAAATGGACTTTCTTACAAATATATGCCATTCATTAACACAAGGCTCATATATCAAATGCCTTACGGGGGTTAGGCAGATAACATAAATAAGTTAAATGGAGCAGGGAGGAAACTGCAGAAAACTGGAGGTTTTCCATCTAATGAAATGAGAAGCTACCCAACTCTAGCCAACTGCTGCCTCTTGGGAATGTGGATTCAGAATCGCCAGACCTTTTGAGTTCTCAAAAGAAGCAAGAAATTAAATTTGTTTAATGTGCAATCTCCAGGTATTTAAGTATTGAAAACTAATTCAAAATTAAATACTGGGTGAACAGCCAAAATGTCTTCAATCCAGACACTGCCCGCAAGTCACCCTTTGAAACCTCTAATGCAGTGGATACATAATCTTCCATGGTACTCATTATTTTAAAACCTTTCTTGCTTTTAACTAACTGAATACAAAATGTTACTGCTGAACCCTTAAGCTGTGATACTACAGCTGCTAAAACAGTCTCGTCTATACCTTTGTGCGCTTGTACAAATAATTCCAGAAGTACAGATTCAAAACTGCCCTAGAAAAGACTGTATCAGTTTACAATCCTATTAACAGTACACGAGGGTGTCCTTTTCCAGGGAGCTTTAAACAGATTCCCAGGTGCCACCCTGGAGATCAGATGTAGTGGGTCTGGGACGGAGCCCAAGAATGTTTGTTTTTTTAAGCTCCCAGATGGTTCTAATGATCAGAGAGGTTTTGGAACCACACTCTTAGATTACTAACAAGTTGTTTGGGACCATTTCCAGTAAATTATAAAGGAAACTGTAAGTACTTCATTTGTACTTCTCTGTTTTAGGCTGTTCCTAATTACAGCCCTCTATGGAAACACGAAAAGGCTCTGTCTGCTGCTGCTGCTGTTTCAGGCAGTTCAATCAGAGCAGAACAATAAATAAACCGAGCCAGGAACCTTCAAGCAGCTTTTATTGGCACAGCCTACGAAAAGGTGTGGTAGCCATTCTGAGCAAAAACCTGTATCCCAGCAGCAAGCTGTTCAGTGTTATGTTTAACACACCACTGAACCAGAAAGTTTAAGTTCCTGAAACACACACCCCAGGTCACTAAGAAGCTCCAGAAACAATAGGTTAACCCCTGCTGCTCTGTTAAGACCAGCAAACACACACACACACACACACACACACACACACACACACACTCACACACACACACACTCACTCACCCCTGGATATGCATCCCTGTTAGGGGGTGACTAAAAAGGTACGCAATGGTATCCAGGTGTTTTAGGTTGACTCCAGCTCACTCCCCCATTACAAGGAAAACACATTTCAGTAGTGGCACTGAAGTCTCCATTGTGTTCGCCTAAGCAGTTTCTGCTTAGGACGGGTGGTGTCATAGGACATGATCATCAGGATGGTACAGTTCACTCATCAGGCGGTAGATGTAGGAAGGTGCGTTCCCACCAATGTTGGAGATAAAGAGGGTAATGAGCTCTGGGGGAACATAGTCAAACACAGGGCAATGGACGCTGACTTTCTCCAGAATGTCCCCTGAAAGGCAATCACAGGTTAGAAAGATAAAATTGAGGATCCTGCTCTAGTGGTTTAGTAGCATATAGATTCTAGGCTCAATAATGCAGGCATACTTGCTACCTCAAGGAAGGGAAGCTGCGACAAATGCAAACCAGAACAGATGACTTCAGATCATAATCCCTGTTTAAAATTATCCAATGCTTTTCTTTGGCCCTTAGAATAGAATTCAAACTTAGGATTGCAATCTTCCAGATCCCACCACTCTACACTAATTACAAATCATACCAGTCTACCTCTTGTTCATTCCTCTCCAGCCATATGGCCACTTTTCCCCCAAATGGCTAAACATGTACCTAACTCAGTCCCTTTGCACCAATGCCTAGAAAACTCTCCCCTTGACCTTCAGGTGGGGCTCTACACATTTAGAACTCAGCTGAAATGTCATCTCATTAAGACACTTCTTCAATCTAAGGTAGTCTCCTAGCCACTTTCTATCTCTTATCATTAGTTTTTTTCTCGAAAACATCCCATGACATGAGATTTCATTGTCCATCTGCTGTAAGAGAACGTAAGCCCTGTGGGAGCAGGGCCTATCTGTATTGTTCATTGTCATGTCCCTATATAGTTGGTGCTCAATAGATGTAAATATTTCTGAAAGAATGAATATTTAAATAAATGGATGAAGTTATTCAACTTCTAAGAATTAGCACCCTACATACTATGCTTTGCTCCCAGAGGGTGTGTAAGGCCATGTTAACTTGATGAGGCTCACTGAACACAGCTGCTGCCTCAGAAGTCAGATAAAGGACCAACACAAAGGGTATCCGAGTTATAGGCAGGTTGTAGAAGTCAGAACATTTCAGAGCCAGCTTCCTTTGGCAGCCACATCACCAAAATGACTTTGGACAGCAACTGAAAACAAGTACATTTCCCAAGGGTTGCTGCCTGTGTCTCAAAACAACATGCAAAGCCAACCCCAGTCAATGCTGGGTGATCAACCCACCATAGCCCCAGTAACTCACCTAAAAGAGATTAGCTTCAAAACAAAAGGAACCTAAACTAGATCAGGTCTCCAGGCACTCTAAGGTGCTGAAGAGAACAGTGCCTACAATAAGTATGATAAAAAGCACAACCTGGTAGCATTAAATTCCACTGACCACTGACCACCGAAACCAAAACCAAAATTCCAAATAAACACACACACACACACACACACACACACACACACACTTTTTTACCTTCTGTGAAGGGCAGAACTTCTTCAGGAGCCACAAACTTATGAAATGAATCTTCTTCATTGGGAAACTGGAAAAGAAAAAATAATTTTTTTTTTTTTTAAAAGACACAGCAATTCTATTTCCAGGTATGTACCTAAGAGGAATAAAAAAAACATATGTTCACACAGAAACCTGTACACATATGCTAATAGCAACTTATTCACAAAAGCCAAAAGGTAGAAATAACCAAATGCCAATCAAGAGATGAACAGATAAATTGTGGTAAATCCATACACTGGAATATTATTCAGTCATAAAAAGAAACCAAGTACTGTGCTATAACTCAGATGAACTTAGAAAACATTATGCTAAGCAAAAGGGCCCCTATTGTATTCCTTTCATATAAAATATCCAAAATAGGCCTGGCTCGGTAGTTGAGAGTCAACCTATGCAACCAAAAGGTCACAGGTTCAATGGGTTTGGGACTTGATCCCCAGTAGGGGTTATACAGGAAGCGGCCAATGGATGTTTCTCTCTCATCAATGTTCTGATCTCTCTCTGTTCCTCTCTCTCTCAAATCAATAAAAACACATTTTAAAACAAACAAACACCATACAAACAAAACAGGCAACCCCACAGAGACAGAAAACAGATTAGTGATTACTAGGAGATGAGGCCAGGGGAGAAAAGGGAATGATTACTTAGTAATGGGTACAAAGTGTTTTCCTAGGATGTAGAAGTTGTTTTAAAACTACAGAGTGGTAGATGCACAATGCTGTGAATGTAGTAAATGCTACTGAACATTTTAAAATGGTTAATCACATGTTATATGAATTATACCTCAATTAAAAATAGAGACCTATAAATAGATTGACATTTTCAAAGCAAATAGTTTTATCACTAATGAAATGACTCTTCAGTTAGTAACTCATATTCAGGCTTCAGAGGACAGTCCCTGGAACTATGACAAATAAAACAAATTGTATGTTCCTACTTTTAACTTGCTTGGCATTCTGAGAAGTGGGCAGGGTGATGAGGAGTGGTGGCAATGTAAACAGTGGGCCTTCCCCAACCAAGTATCGTCCTGACCTTCCAATTTTGACTTCTCAAAGCTGACAGGTTATAAATATCGACTGTTTTTCCTGGATCAAGACTCGTGTGGCTTTTTCCAGCCTCCACTGGATCTAATCCATTGAGCGAATGCAGATAAGAAAAGTCCTAGAGTAGGTTGAAGGCCCAGAGATCAAGCCTACCCTTTGACTTCCTTATCTCTGTTAAAGGCAGACAGACATACCTGTGGGGAAAGCTTGAACATAGGGGCACAGACGATGAGTGGGGTGGAATGGTGTTTTGCTGCCAATGCTAGAGTATGAGTTCCTGTTACCGCTCTCAGGGCACCATTTGCCAGGATGGTCTTCGTGCCAATGATCACCTTTGAGACAGGAAAAGGAAGAAAAATGAGACAGAAGGGGAGGGTGGGTGGGTGGGAGGTAATCAACCAAGGACCTTGTATGCATATATACATGGCCCATGGACACAGACAATGGAGAGGTGAGGGCCTGGTTTGGGGAGGGGGAGGTAGGCTGGAGGAGGTCAGTGGGGTGGGGGGGGAAACATATGTAATACTTTCAACAATAAAGAATTATTAAATAAAGTAAAATAAAAAATGTGAGCCCTCCCAGGGATAAAGCCTTAACAGGGCCATTGGGCACAACAGCCTAACTGCTCAGGCCTGAGTCTTGGCCTCCTGAGGGGTCACATAGAATAGAAAGAAAAGGATTCTAGGCTTTGGACCACAGTTTTAAGCTTAAAAGTGGATTATCAAGGAAAAGTGAACAAAGTACAGAACGGGAAACTGCAGTATCTTTTAGTCTTGTCTCTAAAAACCAATATGCCATACTTCCTGAGAAGTGAGGAGCTTTTCTCATTTTCCATCTACCACTGCCAAGTTCTCTGAGCATAAGGGGGGAGCCCTCTACTGGATCCATAGTAGCTGACCTGCTCAGAGTAGAGTAGTCCCACTTCATTCTCTTTTTAAAAAAAAATATATTTTATTGATTTTTTACAGAATGGGAGAGGGATAGAGAGTTAGAAAGATCGATGAGAGAGAATCATTGATCAGCTGCCCCTGACCGGAATCGAACCTGGGATCTTTCAGTTTGCAGGTCGACGCTCTATCCACTGAGCTAAACCGGTTTCGGCTCACTTCATTCTTTCAATGTTTTAACCAAAAAGAGGTTATTCCAAATGAGGACCAATGATATAGACAAAGGGAAAATAATTCAGTTAATAGAGTTGAAGTATGTACTTTCAATGCCATGGCTCAGTGGTGGAGTGTTGACTTATGATCCAGAAAATCACGGTTCGATTCCCAGTCAGGACTCGTGCCCAAGTTGCGGGCTCAGTCCCAAATGTGGAGTGTGCAGGAGGCAGCCAGTCAACGATTCTCTCTCATCACTGACGTTTTTATCTCTCTCTCCCTCTCCCTTCCTCTCTGAAATAAATAAAATCAATTAAAAAAATATTTTAAAATATTTTTTATTTAAAAGGTGCTAAAAATCTCTTCCCATGGATATTAAAAATCAGTATTTTAGAGGTATAATCTTTATAAATTCAACATAACATAACTCCAAACATACCCACCTTATTGACTCTTGACATCACAGCAAAAATGGCGGCATCAGTCATGACAGTTGTCTCAATACCTGCTTTAGACAAATTGACTGCCATTTCGTGACCCTGCAGAAGGAGAGAGAGGCTGATTGATGCTGAAACAGAGTGAGAGAGAGTGAAAGACCTCTCAAATGAAACTGGATCTGGGGAGTTTTGTAATACTGAGCATATCCAACACACAATTTCCAACATATAACTAATTCATTTTTGTGCCTGTAGTAGGTATTCTTTGGTAAGCTGCAAGGAAGCCCAGAGAAAGCTAATAAATGTTTAATGCTCCACAGCAGTGCCAAAACTGGAAATACTACTTGCTTGCATAATCAGGCATTGCTGATGAGAGCTCCTGGCTCATTATTTTACAACATTCTGCCTCCTTATAGATTTCCTTTCTTGAAACCTATTATTTACCTAGGGATTGAGTGACATTAGATCAAGACTTAGTCATCCTCAAGTTAATTTACCCTATTTTAATTCTTAAAAAAACCTATGTTTATCTTTTGATGGACCCAGCAGTTCACCCAACTTTCTTAAACGAATGTTTAAGAATGTTCACAGAATGAACTTGAAAATTTCCTTAATCTTTTATGATCTTCTCAATGTCTTGCTTATCAATTCAAAGTTAGCATGGATCCTATCTATCACTCTGGTATTCTCTCCTCAGTTTTCATTTTTCTTAGCCCCTCCAGACGTCCCCCTACCTGACAGAAAGGAGCACACTCGGCCACAATGACATGGAACTTCCTCTTCCGCGCAGCCTCTTGGAGGAAGGCCTCCACTGTTCGGGAGTAGCCAATGGTCATGATCACCTCATTAGAGTGGATGTGCTCCAGAGCCTGGGCTGCGATGTTCTCCGTTGTCCCTTCTGCAAGAACAGCCAGTTTTACAAGAAAATAGGAAACCGTCATGCCACAACATAGACAGGCATGACAGAGCACCAAAGGGGACGGACGAGTGCTCATCACACAGACTGCCCTCCTAGCTGATGCTGGTAACACGGGGTTTACAAACTTAATAATATGAAATGTCACATTTTCTTAAAAACCCTGCTCCTCTGAGATCTTCCGTCTCCCAAGTTCTCAGCCTGCCCTCCTTTCAGCAGTCCCCCCTCTATCAACAACTTAGCGCCCTGCCCTGGCACGACACCAGCTCCCTTACAAATGATTTTGAAGACAATGACTTCAGGCAAGAAATGATCCATTCTGGGAAACCCTATAGTGCTGAGAATGGGGTAAACAGTACTTCCCCTTAAAAAAAAAAAAAAAAAATCATCCCAAAGGTGGCCACACCTCCACCTAAGAGGGAAGCCACAGAAGAAAAATAAGGAAGGAATTTGGAAGTAGCAGCTCAGTGCACAGACAGACCCAGCTTCTTCCTCCCCTGAAGAACTCTGATTGCAATAAAGGTCTGTCTCCTGGTTCACAAAGACAAGGGGAATGGAGGTGGTATGAGTGGGTATTAAAATCAAAAGGAAGTTTAATGAAGAAGGATCTACTAGTTTTAGAGAGTTCATCTTCTTTAAATGAAAATAAAGCATCCTGGCTGGTTTCTCTCAGTGGTTAGAGCAGTGGTGTGAGGACTGAAGGGTTGTGGGTTCGATTCCAGTGAAGGGCATGCACCTCAGTTGCAGGCTTGTGCCCCATGCAGGAGGCAACCAACCAATCGATGTCTCTCTCTCATCTCGATGTTTTTCACTCTGTCTCTCCCTCTCCCTTCCACTTTGTCTAAAATCAATGGGGAAAATATCCTTAGGTGAGGATTAACAACAAAACTTTTTTTTTTTTTTTTTTTTTTTTTTAAAGAAAGAAAGGAAAGCCCTGTCCTAGTGGAGTCTCTGTCACAGTGGCTTTGCAATCTACAAAGGTTTGGTCTGTAAGGAAATGTGGAATGTCCTACCACCTGTTCCAACCCTCCCTCATCAGGATGGAGGGGAAACCCCTGGAAACCAGAGTACTAGCTATTGCCTATCTCTGCCAACGAACAACCCCGAGGGTCTTCTGTTGTCCCCTCATTTTTCTGCAACCTGTCCCGCCCACCTAAGGATCAGGACGCTTACCCAGTTCCACAAGGAGCTCATTAATTGCCTCAATGATGTTGGACTGGAGTTGGGAGTAAGGAATGGTGAAGTCCTCGCTTAGGCCTCCGGATGTCAACAGTTTGTGTAGGGACTCCTGCTGGTCGCTCTCGTCGCTGCGTCCGTGGAGTCTACAGAGGCAACAAGACCACAGGAGGCGGTGAGAAGGCGCTGTGGTGTGCAACTAGACCTGTTCGGTTCCAAGAAAGGCTCCGAGGGGCTCGTGCCAACAGCGTCACTGGATCCGAACCGGAGCCCAGGGCGGGGGCCTGACCTGCCGTACTCCTCCCGGATGATCCTGAGCACTCTCCGCACCATGTTGCCCACGGTGGTCTCGGAGGGCTGCGCGGCCGTCATCCTCCGGCCTTCTCTGCGGATGAGCTCCATCAGCTCTCCTGAAGTCCAAGACAGAAAGGGGTGAGCGGAGCGAGTGCTCCGGGAGGCCTGGGCGACTCTCTGCCAGGAATGGGGAACGGGGAGTGGGGAGGGACGCCGTGGCGCTAGGCCTGCCTCACCTGCGTTGCTCCAGCGGTGGTCCATGATGATCCGGCGCAGCAGCCCCAGCGTCTCCCGAGCCATGTCCTCAGAGCTGCGCCGCCCGCCGCCCCGCTTCAGGGCCTCCACGAAACTCTCAATCCTCTCGGACAGCTCCGAGGCCTTGTCCGCGGCGCCTGGCATCTTGAAAGAAGCCGCCGCCGAGACGGCGGAATCCCCACCTGCACGACCTCCGAGTTTGCACTTCCGGGACGCACCAGGTCGGCTTCCGCTCCGCGAGGAAAACGCCAGTGGCGTTCACGTCAGGCCACGCCCCTAGCGGTCTGGGCCAATCAGAGGCGCGGAGCTCCAGTTTAGTCACCGCAGAGGCTCTGCAAGCCTCTGGACCAGAGGAGCGCGCTGGCCTTTGCCGGACCCTCGGACGCTACAGAGGTGATTCGAGAATCACCAGAGCTTGGCCTGTCCTGTTGCTGTAGGAACAGCCTGCGGCCTTCTTTCCTGATCCCCAGCTCCGGTGGCTGCCCCAATTTCCGATACAGATGCTCAGAATGCGCGTCCGGGGCCCCCTGCCCATGGGCAGACCCCCCTTTATAAAGCCGAGTTTGCGCCTGTGCCTCTCTAATAGATTCAGCTTCCAGGGCAGGGATCGTATCTTTTTTGCCTTTGCATTCCTAACGCCTAGCACACCTAATATAAGACAGGGATCAGAAATGAGGAGATCCATACCCACCAAAATAAGGAGATTCAAAGTGGGAGCCAATATGGGAGCAAAAATGATACCCTTCCATTTGGACAGACTACAGAGGCTGGACAGTATAGTATAATAGAATGCCAAGAACCATCATTTACTAAAAGCTTGCAGATGTTGGGAAGTGTGTGTGAATTGCCCCATCTAATGCAACTCTGTGAGGTATGTCCTCTTATTCTTGTTTTACAGGTTAGAAAACAGAGCCACTGAATCGAAGCAGCTGGTAAGGAAATGCATTGATATTTAAATCTAGGGCCATCTGACTATTTCCTTATGATAAATTCTTAGAAGTGGAATCCTTGGGAACATAGCATTTTTAAGACTTGTTACAATGGACAAATTGCCTTCCAAAAAGATACATCAATACTGAAATCAGATGATAGATCAAGAAAACCAGAGTATCCCTCATGAACAGCAGATGCAAAACCTGCAACAAATTATTAGCAAATGAAGTCCAGCAATACATGAAAAGACTAATACATAATTGCCAAGGAAAATTTAAATCTAGAATGCAAAGCTGTTTCAATATTTGAAAAGCAATCCATTTAGTAAACGATATGAACAATCTAAAAAGTTAAGCCACATGATCATCTCAATTGATGCAAAAATATTTGACAAAATTAAACAGCCATTTAAGAAGAAAAGATCTCTCACAAAACTTGAAATAGAACGGAACATCTTCAACTTGATAAAAGGCATCTATTATACAAAATTCTACACCTGACAGCATAATTTATGTAAAAGACTGCTCTCTCCCTAAGATCAGGAACAAGGCAAGAATGTCTACTCTCACCATTCCTATTTAACAGCATTCTTAAAGTCCTAGCCATTGTAATAAGGAAAGGAAAAATTTAAAAATATACAGAGTGGAAAAAAGAAAAAGAAAACTACTCTTGCTCCCAGAAGACATAATCACCTACATAGAAAATCCCGAAGAATCAATAACAAAAATAAACAACTCCTAGAACTAATAAGTGAATTTAGCAAGAATACAAGGCTAACACATAAAAATCAATTATATTTCTCTATACTAGCAATGAATAATCAGAAACAGAAATTGAAAACACAACATCCCCCAAAAGCCATAAAATATATGTTAATATTACTGCATGTTGAGTTTTAAATGTCTTAAAAATTGCATCAATTTACATGCTTGCTAGCACCTACCGTGTTCTGGCCAATTTTGGATATTGTTCTTTATTTTTTCAGAGCCATTAAAAAAATAAGACACATACTATTATATGTGTGTGTGTGTGTGTGTGTGTGTGTGTGTGAAATATATATGGAAGTTATGAAGCATAACAATAAAATGAATACCCATGTCCCATCTCTCATCTTACAAACTAAAATTCTCAAATTTCTAGACACAGAAAAAAGAATGGTGGTTGTCAGGGGTTGGAGGGAGGGGTGAATTAGTTTTTAGTGGGCATGAAGTTTCAGTTTTACAAGCTGAGAAGAGTTCTAGAGGTGGATGTTGGATAATGGATGTGCCCTTACATCACACAACAATGTAAATGCCACTGAACTGCACACTTTAAAAAAGCTTAAATGGTTAGCTTTATGTTATGTGTATTTTACCACAACTTAAGTAAATACAGGGGTTGGCAGAAGTAGATTTACAGTTGTGAGCACATGTAACGGTTTATTAATTATTATATTATTTATTTGTATTACAATTGTAAGCCTACTTTTTTCCATCCCTGAAAATATATGTGAAAAACACCCCCCCCCCCAAAAAATACTGCCAATTCCGTCACATCAATGTGTGCTCTTTTTTAAAAATATATATTTTATTGATTTTTACATAGAGGAAGGGAAAGAGATGGAGTTAGAAACACTGATGAGAGAGAAACATGATCAGCTGTCTCCTGCACACCCCTTACTGGTGATGTGCCTGCAACCAAGGTACATGCCCTTGACGGGAATGAAACCTGGGACTTTTCAGTCCGCAGGCTGACACTCTATCTACTGAGCCAAACCGGTTTCGGCTGTGTGCTCTTCTTTTAACTCATTTTCCTGCCTTCTCCCATACCCAAGGATAAATACTTAACTAAATTTTAATTGATGTTCTTTTGCTTTAAAAAATTATTATCTATTTACAATCTATAAATAACATTCGTTTTTCTTGTTTTGAGTCTTTTACAAGTTGTAATTTTTTTTTTTACAATTTTTCACTATGACATTCCTGAAATTTATCCATATTGTTACATGTATCTGTAGTTCTCTCATTTTTACAGCTGCATAATATTCAGTTGTGTGATGTGATTATACCACAATTTATGTATTCATTTTCCTTCAACAGATGCTTGGGTTGTTTCCAATCTTTTTGGGGGATGGGTGACTGTAAGCTCATGTACCAGTGGAACAGGTGAGTCATAACTATGTGAATGTTCACCTTTACGAATAGTGCTAGTCTTCCAAAGTGGTTAAATTAATATATGCTCGCTCTCTGGCAGGACTTAAAGAGTTCCAGATTTACATCCTTACCAACACTTAGTATTATCAACTATTTTAGTTTTGGAGAGTCATCCTATATAATAAGAGAGGAATAGGCGTAACAGCCAGATCATGGGTCTGCAGGAGGGTGGACGAGCGGTGGCAGTAAGCTATGAGGGGAGAAGGGGAGAGGGGGACAGGGGGGATGGGGGCAGGAGGGGAGCTACAGGAGGGCAGCAAAGAGCTACTGGCACTCTGATTCCTGTGGAGGGCTGCTAGTGTGGATATAAAAGACTGTCGCATTGTGATCTTTTTAAAATATATATATTTTGTTGATTTTTTTTTTTACAGAGAGGAAGGGAGAGGGATAAAGTTAGAAACATCAATGGAAGAGAAACATTGATCAGTTGCCTCCTGCACACTTCCTACTGGACATGTGCCAGCAACCATGGCAGGGCTCCATCACAATGAGCCCTGACCAGTTTAGCTCAGTGGATAGAGTGTCAGCCTGCGGACTGAAGGGTCCAGGTTCGATTCCGGTCCAACTGCTGGACATCCCTCTCATAATCTAGGACTGCTGGCTCCCAACTGCTTGCCTGCCTGCCTGCCTGATTGCCCCTAACTACTTCTGCCTGCCAGTGTTATCACCCCTTAACCATTCCCCTGCCAGCCTAATCAACACCTAACTGCTCCCCTGCCGGCCCGATTGTCCACAAATGCCCACTCCTGCCGGCCTAGTCCCCCCCCCCCTCAACTACCTTCCCCTGCTGACCTGATTGCCCACAACTACACTCTGCTGAAGGCCATCTTGTGGCGGCTATCTTTGACCACGTGAGGGTGGCCATCTTGTGCAAGGATGCGAGGGTCAATTTGCATATCACCTCTTTAGTATATAAGATGTGTTTTGTGTTTTATTTTAAAAAATCCTTTTCTAATACAAAACCATAAAGATAATCTAAATATTTTAAAATTTGCCTTTACACATAATTTGGAATTACTTTCTATGTAGGGTGAGAGGTGGGAATCCAATTGTCTTTTCTTTTTTTCATTCTTTCTCCAGTGATTTATATATATTTCAGAGTGGAAGAGAGAGGGAGTGAGAGAGAATTATTGATTGGCTGTCTCCAGCATACCCTTTGCTGAGGATCAAGCCTGCAACCCTATCATGTGCCCTGACTAAATCAATATGAGAGACACATCAATTGATTGCCTCTACAGGCACCCGCCCCAACTGAGGCCAAGGATCAAACCTGTAACCCAAGTATGTGCCCTTGACTGGGAATTGAACCCAAGACTCTTTGGTGCTAGGGCAGACACTCTAACCATCTCAGAGCACACCAGCCAGGGTAGCTCAGCAACTTTTATAATTTCCTTTATGTAGATCTTGCACATCTTGTTTAAGAGTTATTCCTAGCCGAAACCGGTTTGGCTCAGTGGATAGAGCGTCAGTCTGAGGACTGAAAGGTCCCGGGTTTGATTCCGGTCAAGGGCATGTACCTTGGTTGCGGGCCCATCCCCAGCAGGGGGTGTGCAAGAGGCAGCTGATTGATGATTCTCTTTCATCGATGTTTCTAACTCTCTATCCCTCTCTCTTCCTCTCTGTAAAAAATCAATAAAATATATATATTAAGAAAAAAGAGTTATTCCTATGCATCTTATATACTTTTTGCCATTGTAAGTGATTATCATTATTTTTATCATTGCCAAATTGACAGAGAAATTTTTTAGTTTTAATTTGCATTTCTCATTAATTATTAATCATGATAAACATTTTTTCATGTTTAGTTACCATTTGTATTTCTTCTCTTATGAGTTCCTAGTATACATGGTTTGCCCATCTTTCTTATGTGATATATGGTAGACGTTCTTATAGCTCACCCAATACCTGTTTCTTTCTTCCTTAGTAAAAGAACTGATTTTGTTTAGTGTATTACTCAGAGGGTAAGTGGTTTTAGCTTTATGGTAAATCCTGGTTCCATACTTTCACTCATTTTCTAGTTAGTGGGATATGACTGTGGTTCATTTGGGACTTTTTGGAGAAGTTTCCTGTTCAGAGCCTGGCCGGTGTGGTTCAGTGGTTGAACACCAGCCCATGTACCAAGAGGTCACTGTCAGGCCATATGCTTGGGTTACATGCTTGACTCCTGATAGGGGGCATGCAGGAGGCAGTTGATCTATATCTTATTGATGTTTCTATCTCTTTCCCTCTCCCTTCCTCTCTCAATAAAATATATGCTAAAAAAGAACAAAGAAAAAACAGAGAAGACTATTTAGTCTCTTCTATCTCTGGTCTTCTTGGATGTGATGCCTAGAGTTATTGCAGCTGTGAACTTAGGTGAACATCAAGGCAATTATGCTGAGTGAGAAATACCACTCTCAAAGTATACACGCTGCATAATTCCATTAAGTGACATTTATGGAACAGCATAATTACAGAGATAAAGATAGATTAGTGGTTGTCAGGGTTTAGGGACTGTGGTGGCGTGTGATGGGTGTCAGTATAAAGTAGTGACACAAAGATAGTACAGTTGTACCAATGTCATTATCTTTGGTTTTGATATTGTACTATAGTTGTGTAAGATGTTATCATTGAAAGAGGCAGAGGGAAGGGAGCATAGGACTTTGGTGTATATTCCTTTCAACCTCCTGTTAATCTACAATCATTTCAAAATAAATAGCTAAACAAAAACATCATAAACCAGGATTTATAAAATAAAAACATCTATTAGAAATTATAAAGTGCCCTAACCGGTTTGGTTCAGTGGATAGAGCATCGGCCTGCGGACTGAAAGGTCCCAGGTTCGATTACAGTCAAGGCATGTGCCTTGGTTGCGGGCATATCCCCGGGGAGGGGTGTGTGTGTGTGTGTGTGTGTGTGTGTGTGTGTGTGCAGGAAACAGCTGATAAAAGTTTCTCTCTCATCGATGTTTCTAATTCTCTATCCCTCTCCCTTCCTCTCTGTAAAAAATCAATAAAACATATTTTAAAAAATAAAGTATTGCATTATATTACTCTAGCTATAATTGTTAAATGACTCAGTGCTAAAATAGGCAATAAAAGAGACTGTTTAAAGTCTGCAATTTTTCGAAGTAGGATGCAAAAATAATATATTTGGTGGAACTTCAGCTTCATTTATATTTTATATATAAATATATATGTACATATGCTCACATGTGCTTATACATATATATCACACACACAGACATGGTATACCATAACTATATCTATATACTGTATTTACATATATTTCTATCTCTAGGTAGAGTGATTAAAGAGTTTTTAGAGATCTCTAATTGCCTCAAAATTAATTCTTCTATAATAACAGAGTTTAAACTGGGCATATAGCCACTCAGAAGAAAGACATTTTCCAGGCTTCCTAGCAGGTAGAGGTGGTCACATGTCTATGTTCTTACCAATGGGATGGGGTGGAAGCGTGTTGCTGATTCTGAGAACTGGCATGAGTTCTTGGCCTTTTTATCCCTTTCTCTTTGCTCTGCCAGCTTAGCTGATGAGCATACAGTCCACACTGCAGGGGCAGCAGAGTAAGGAGCTGGAAGTAGAACTCGTCCTTCTCAGGCCTCCGTGGAGCAGAACTCCCAAACTAGCCTGGACCTTTGGACTTCATGCAGCTGCAAGCAAAATAAACATAAGTCCTCTTTAAGCCCTTGTTTCCTTGGGGTTTCAATCACTTGCATTCATACTGGATCCTAACAAATACAAGAGTTATTTTTACTTGTGTGCTGTTCTGTGATTTCCGAAATTTCTACAATCAACATGTCCCATTTTTTATCAGAAAAAAATAAAAATAAAGTTATTTGTAAGAAAAAGAAGAAAAATAAATTTTGCATCAGGTCCTTGCTTCTCTCAACCTGGAGCATGATTTTGTTGATTTTCCCAATGTGTCCTAAATGCATAATGATCAAATCATAGTTTCCAAACTTAATTAGGAGAATGAGGTGATTATGATGATAAATCTCAACTGGAGGAAGGAACGCCGATGAAAATATTTGTGTCTTTCTCCCCCTGTTCTAAAGAATCTCCTTTAAGGCCACCGGATCACTTCCTTTTCCTGAAGGGCTTTGACTTAACACTTTGGGCATGTGAGTGCACGACTGTTTTGATCCTTCTCTGATTGTTTTGGTGGATAAGTCATGTCTCTACGCAACCTGAGAACAAGTGCTATTGTGGTGGACACCTGTTGTTTTTGTCTGCCTTGATCACTCCCTTTCCTTTGGGAACTGCCCCTCCTCATCTCATGACATTCAGGTGGGACTGTCAATCCCAGAGCCTCCCGATGCCCAAGTAGCCCTGGCCACAGGGATGGCACACTGCTCAGGTTTGGCCAGTCACACCACCTCTAAGCTGATTGGCTGTGCAAAGCCATTCAGTCCTTCCTGGGGATTTGCTATATGAACCCCAGAAGAAAGCAGGTTTCTCTCTTTGAGGTTATCTGCTATAAGGAGGCCGACTTGGGACTCAGTGGCCGGCTTCCCTGCCTCATGGAGAAGGTTTGTCTGCAGAAGGAAATCAGGCAACTCCCCTAGGAGAAACAGAAGCAAGCGGAGCCAAGTTTTAGAGTGAGAGAAAGAGCAAATAAATTGATTATTTGAAATGAGCTGATCTAAGCCCTTAGATCCAAGCCAGGACTGAAGATAGAACTACCTTCGGACTTCTCAGCAAATTCTCTTTTGGCTTAACTTTTTGAGTTTCTGGAGCCTTGACTTAAGCTTATTTTTTGTCTTCCTGTGAGTCCAACCCTATTTTCAGCCAAGGTAGGAGTCCATTATTATTTTATTGATGCTGCTAGACTACAAGCTAACCTTGGTCTATACGTGGATTTATATTTTTGTGGAATCTGCCTCTGTTCTTGAGATTCCCTGCCACTTGAACATAGTTGCTAGGAATTTGGAGGAAAATTCTGATGACAGACATAGGTAATGGTTCAGGGCATGTGATTAAAAAAAAAAAATACTGCCCCATTGTTTGTTATTAAGATTGCAGATTAACATATGCTCTTTATAGATAAACATATTTAATATGTAACAACTATTTAGAGCACCATATTACGTATTAGAAAACAGCTTCTGGCCCAGCTAGTATGGCTTAGTAGTTGAGCCTTGACCTATGAACCAGGCAGTCACTGTTCAATTCCTGGTCAGGGCATATGCCCGGGTTGCTGGGGGGCATGCAGGAAACAGCCAATCAATGATTCTCTTCCATCATTGATGTTTCTCCCTTTCCCTCTCTGAAATCAATAAAAAACATACATACTTTATTTATTTTTTTAAAATAAATCTTTATTGTTCAGATTATTACAAATGTGATCCTCTTCCCCCCCTCAATTGCTCCCCTTCACCAGGTTCCCACCCCACCCTCTGTCCTTTCCCCATCCCCCATTTTCCTCATCCATAGGTGCACAGTTTTTGTTCAGTCTCTTCCCGCACCCCCACTCCCCTTTTCCCTGAGAATCGTCAGTCCACTCCCCTTCCATACCTCTGATTCTATTATATTCACCAGTTAATATTGTTCATCAGATTTTAAATTCCCTTGGTTTTTAGATTCACTTGTTGATAGCTACGTATTTGTTGATCATAATTTTTATCTTTATCTTCTTCCTCTTCCTAAATAACCTCCTTCAGCAATTCATATAATTCTGGTTTGGTGGTGATGAACTCTTTTAGCTTTTTTTTATTTGTGAAGCTCTTTATCTGTCCTTTGATTCTGAGTGATAGCTTTGCTGGGTAGATTATTTTTGGCTGTAGGTTCTTGTTATTCATCACCTTGAATATTTCTTGCCATTCCCATCTGGCCTGCATGGTTTCTGTTGAGAAATCAGCTGACAATCTTATGGGTGCTCCTTTATAGGTCACTACCTGCTTTTCTCTTGCTGCTTTTAATATTCTCTCTTTGTCTTTTGCTCTTGGAATTTTAATTATGATATGTCTTGGTGTGGTCCTCCTTGGATTCCTTTTGTTTGGGGTTCTTCGGGCTTCCTGGACTTGTAAGTCTATTTCTTTCCCCAGGCGGGGGAAGTTTTCTGTCACTATTTCTTCTAGTACTCTTTCGGCATCTTGCTCTCTCTCTTCTGGAATCCCCGTAATTCTGATGTTGGTTCGCTTGAAATTGTCCCAGAGGTTTCTTACACTATCTTCAACTTTCTGGATTCTCTTATCTTCTCCCTTCTGCAGAGGAGTGTCCTCTGGCTCTTTGTGTTCTAAATCTTTGTCTTGATTCTTACCATCTTCCAGTCTGTTTTTAGGACTTTGTATAATATTTTTTATTTCAGACAATGTTTTCTTCATTTCTTGTTGATCCCTTATTATTTCTAGTTGCTCCCTTTTCATATCCTCATAGGTCTCATTTATTTTATTGGCCTTTTTTAGGATATTGTTGAATAACCTTATAACTGTAGTTTTGAACTCAATGTCCAATCTTTTCTTTTCCTCCATCTCCTTCCTTTGTGTCCTTTTTCTTGTCTGCATTTTAGTTGTTTCCCTGATTTGATGGAATAGCTTTGTGTGCTAGGTGTTCTGGTAGAGCCCAGTAGCACAGCCTTCCCAGTTACCTGCAGTGGACAGTCTTGGTGTAGCCCTTTGTGGGCTGTGTGTGTAGTCTTGTTGTTAAGTCTTGCTTATTGTTGGTATCGCTGGGAAGCATTCATCTCCAAGCCAGTTGGCTGTCAAAACATACATACTTTAAAAAGAAAAGAAAACAGCCCTTGCACTATGGGAAACTCATCCCTTATACTTTTTTGCTTTTATTTTGCTTTTAGTTAAAGACTTTCCTATCCTTATTCCTTTTGGTCACTAATTAGCCTCATGAAGTTGAGTGGTTCCAATTAAGTGATCCATCATTCCACAATTGATAGGTCCACCCTCAGTGAGAATTAGCCAAGCACAAAACAAATGGCCTGTGATTCTGAAAAGAAAAAAAAAAAAAGTGGAGACTAAGGCCCATCGGCCAGTTATGCTCTTGGCTATGGTAGCCGTGTAGTTGAGAGTTAAACTATTGAGAAGCTTGGGCTTGGAGGTCATATGGATCTCAGTTCCAATCTCAACCCTACCCCTCCATGCTTGTCTGTGAGTGGAGATGATAATAATAGTGACATCTGAGAGTAGCAGTGTTCTCAAACAGTTAGAGACATTGTACTACCAGCGATCTTTAAAGCAATAGGTCTGGATTCATTACATAATTGAGAGCATTTATTTAAATCCCCATAAAAGGTGATTTGAGTGTAGTTAATAAGGACCTGGTTGTAATTTTGAAGACTACATGGT